AAGTATGAGTTAATATCCCGAAGTAAATTACTAAAACTCTCTTACAATAAACGGTTTTCATCAATGAAACTTACTTACAACTTGAAGATTTTCACTCACGATGTACTTTCTGGAAAATATAGGATTTTCTAGGGCTTTTCTACTACTTTCAAACTGTAAATCGCAGCTTACATACTATATGTTCTAATGCATTTTATAAAAAAAATTCACACTAAACTCTTATGAACTCACCAGCTTTATGCTAATACTCGTTTTCAAATAACTTGTATCCTCAGGTCAAAGATAGATAGGTACAGGTGCAGCATTTTGGAGAAGATGGAGTATACAAGATCCATCTCTTATTTTTGTATTACTTTTGGTGTTTGTTGAACTATACAGAACACACTTGTAATTAAACTTACTATGAAATGAAATGGTTGTATGTTTCTTGTTTTTACTATTATGCAATTGTGATGATACTGTACATGACGTCCTCCATCTCGAAACGTATTCCACCGTTATCGGTTTTGGGGTGTGACATAGAAGAGAAGAGATTTTTCAGACAGCAAATACAAAACAAACAAAAGAAACTATCCACCAAGGATACAAACTCAAAAGATAATAAGATTACTGTTTTTCAAATCACAAAGAAAGATAAAACAACCTTAATAAAACGAACTTATGTAGTTGATCCTGCTATTTCTTTTCCAGTGAAAACCTGATGAGGGCCCAAACAACTTTGGGTTCCTAAATCTGCTTAATATTCACAGGTAAAACATGACGAGTAGTTTGACTCTGAATGGTACATTGACAGTGGCTGCTCACGTCACATGACATACAGGTAAGAAGAACTGCAAGAGTCTAGAGCACTGAAGGATGGAGGAAGAGTGAAGTACGGTAATAGTTCACTGGGTGAAATCAAGATTTATGGGATGATAACTAGTGGAGAGTTTTCAATTCGCAAAGTCGCGTATGTGGAAGTACTGCAACACAACCTCATTAGTGTTTCGTAGTTAGTGGTAGGAACACGACTAAAAAGTTTCATTCGACGACGAAGGGTCAGAAATTATTGAAAAGGAAACCAAAAATGTTCTATTAAAGTCAAAATGAAAACGAGAAATGTATCCCAGCAATCTGAAACCCATCAAAGGGAAGCCTGCAATTTGCTTACTTACGAAAGCTTCCATTGATGATAGTTGTATATGGCACAAAAGACTTTCACATCTCAACATCAAAGACATCAACAAGCTTGTTCTTAATGATCATGTGCAAGGTCTTCCTCTTCTGAACCGTGATAAAGATCATTTGTGTAAAGCCTGCGAAATGGGGAAACAGTGCCGAAAGATTAATCCTACGATTGTGAACACAAAAGTCATAGAACCACTTGATCTTGTGTATATAGAACTTTGTGGTCCTTCTGCAATTGAAAGCATTGGTGGTAACATATATATATTATCATAATTATAGATTATTTTTATAGATACACTTGGGTACATTTTCTTAAGCGAACTGCACTATTCTCTAAAGTGGAGTTTTGCATGTTCAATTCATTTATCTCTAACATTGAACCTAAAAACGTTCGAATTGCTCTTGATCATTCAAATTGGGTGCAAGCCATGGAGGAGGAGCTCAATGAATTCAAATGAAACAAGGTTTGGAGACTTATTCCCACTCTAAACGATGCATTCGTTGCTGGTCTTAAATGGGTATTTCGCAACAAGCTGGATAAGGAAGGTAATGTGATAAGAAAAAAGGTGTGACTCGTAGTAAAGGGATATTGTCAGGAATAAGGCATCGACTACGAAGAAACCTTCACACCCGTTGCAAGGTTGAAATTTGTTCGCATCTTTCTAGCATACGCAACATAAAAGAACTTTGAAGTTTGTCAAATGGATGTCAAGTATGCATTCCTAAATAAGGAACTAGAAGAAACAGTGTATGTGGAACAATCAACAGGGTTCATAAACGAAAAGTATCCAAACCACTGTTATGCTCTGGAAAAGGTGGTTTATGGTATAAAGCAAGCTCCAAGAGCATGGTACGAAACTCTAACTCGTTAAAACAGGCTAAATTTAAACAAGGATCGGTCGACCCAACCTTTTTTCGCAAGAAAGATGGTGATCACTTGATGATCATCCAAATTTACGTTGATCTCATCATCTTTGGATACTAACCCCAATTTAACAGTTGAGTTCTAAAAGTTGATGGAAACTAAATTTGAGATGAGCTCCATAGGTCTGATTAACTTTTTCCTTGGCTTGAATATAAGATAGAGTCAGGAAGGTATCTTCATCAATCAAGAGTCTTATATAAAGACCTTACTCTCCAAATTTGGAATGATAGGAGATTCGAAGGTGAAAGTTCCAATGGCATTCACATCGAAACTCACACCATCTCTGGATAAGCCAGCTGCTGATATGACTCTCTATCATCAAATGATAGGCTTATTGATGTATTTGGCTGCTAGTCGTCCATATATCATGTTTTCTGTCTGCTATTGTGTTAGGTTTCAAACGAATCCTCGTGATCCTCACATGACAGCTGTTAAGAACATCTTCCGGTTTCTCAAGCGAACATCCTCACTAGAAATATGGTACCCTTCTAGTTTAGGTTTCTTTGTGTAAGCATTTTCAAATGTTGATCTTGGGGGTTACGGTTTAGATCGAGAAGTACAATAGGAGGATGCAATTTTATTGATGGGAAACTTGTAAGTTGGCAATCCAAAAAGCAAGCTTGTGTCTCCCTATCAACTGCTAAAGCAGAGTACATAGCAGTTGCTTCTTGTAACTCACAAGTAATCTAGATTCAAAGTCAGTTTCACGACTATGGAATCAACATGAAGCGAATCCCCTTATATTGCGATTCTGAGAGCGCCATTCATATTTGTCACAACCCAATGCAACATTCAAAGACAAAACATATAACACTGAGGTATGACTTCATCAAAGATTATGTGGAAGATGCTAATGTTAAGATACAATTCGTTAGATCCACTGATTAAATGGACGGCATCTTCACGATAGAGGCTGACTCTAATCTGAAACAACCTTCGCATTCATAATGTTTTAACTACAACTTAGTGTGAGCGCTCGCAGTGACTAGCGGTCTACTTTCCATACTGCGAATTGGTGCAAATGCTCGCAGTGACTCGCAGTCTACTGTTCATTCGAAGGTTTGGAATTTCATGTATCCTTTGTACACCTTGTTAATTCCTTTTCTTTTCTTATGTTTTTATTCATTTTTCAGAATATCAAAAATACCAAAAATATTAAATAATTGAGTAGGTTTGCAGAGTCATATCTTGGTGATCTCACTTACGCATGATGGGGCATGTATATAACATTCTTAATCTATGCACTAGTTAAGTGTCCCTAGAAGCATGCTGTTGCATGTAGTCCGAAGCCTCATAGAGTTTTATGCTAAATCCTTGTTGAATCAATAACACCAATCATTTCTTCCCAATTAGGTTGTTTATTCACATAAGTCATGAGCTGCCTTACACTATTTGTTTGGAACCACCTCCTATCACTTCTCCAGCACTTTTGTTTTCACAAACGTAACCCTTGATACTATCAGAATTTACCGCTAAGGTTTATGGTCTTAAATACGTTATCATCACGAATTGAGTAAAACCCAAAATCCAACACATTTTACAAATTGACGGTGAACAATTACATGTTCTAGATTTTTCACCATGGAATTAACGAATGTCCACTTTTGTGGTCTGCACCAAGAAATTTCTTTTTATTTTGCGAGATCTTGATGAAATTTTATAGTCCTAAGACGTTTCTTCCCAATAGATCCAGTTTTATTTTTCTTGAGATTTCTATACTTATCCTAGTCACAAAAAATTATTCCCTAGCATACTTGTTTTTATGGCTACACTGGTCAAACAAGTACTTCATACGAACATCCGGACTTATGTTGAGTTTCAGATTTAGTTTTAGAAGAAGCCATCTCATTCACCTTATTAAAAGATGTCTTTCACTGTTTCTCAACAAACAGATGATTGTAATTCAACAAGACACCACACAAGCACTTCAAAGTCTTTCTTGACTGTGAAGGAGGAGATCGTTGCCCGGGATCCATCTGCTTTATGTCTTGTATGACATCACTAGAATCCCTAAGAAAACTCGCTTTATTGTTGTATCTTTGGCACACTCTTGCATGAAGATCTTTATGATTTTCAAAATTCTGGTTCGTAGTCCTATTGGTTACTTTCAAGTTCAGAGTATTACAAATGGCGATCAACTGCGAATGTATCCGGCTACCAAAGTCAAAATCTAAAAGGACGATTCTAAAAGATAATATTTGGAACTTGGGAGCGTGGAATTTGAAATGGATCCTGACTTGATGCCTACTTTACCACCGCCTGACACACACGCCTGACGTAACAGTTGTCACTCATGCATTTTCAAGTGCTTTTTCTGGCTGTAGAAGTGCCAAACATCAGATTTTCTCTCTCATACTACACGTGATAAATAGAAATCGACGCTTTAGTTAACATTATCATTTTCAAAGAAATCAAATTCCCAAGCAATTTCTCTCTCTACTGTTCATATTCTTCAACAAGCATCGATGGCAGGTTCTTCATACACCCCTTCCGTCCAAGAACAATTGGTGCAGTCTTCAATTATCAACCTCAAGGCCAATCAAAACTTGGTTCTGGATCTCGAACCAGCCAAATACGATGAGTTTCTTCAACCCATCATTGAATGTTTGAGGTACTCTCCACTCATCATTGCTCTTACCAAGTCAGATATTTTTCATCCGGTGCATCTCCCTAAGGCTTACTCCACCACCAATAATAAAAAAGGGGAAGAACTGATCTCGTTCGAAATCCACAACCACAAAACCTAAATAACAAAACCGAGGTTCTGCAACCTCCTAGGGCTTCCACATGGTCGTGACGTAATTGATCATAGAGCATATCCAACTCAACAATTCTGGAGATGTTCTACTAGATAGGCTAGAAGGAAAGAATTTCATCAGTTTCTAAGTTCAGGAACCCTAACTTGCCGATGATGTGGAACAACTTATTCACACTGCTCTTCAGGAGTTTCTCGAAAAGGGTTACTGGCTCGGACTGTGCGAGCAAATTATTCATGACTATGATGTACGGGATATACTCCGGCAGCAACTTGGATTACAGGTAAGTTCTTTGGGCTCGGTTAGTACAAAGCACACTTTCTACCACACGACATAGTGAAATCTCCTATGCTTGTTTCTGTACCATCGTCGTTCAAGGGGTGATTAGCAAACTCACCGTCTTGGAAGGTTTCTCTATGGCTTCGATCCAGATTTTCCACACAACGAATATTATACTCGCAGAAAACTCAAAGTTCAGTTTCATCGGCTCCATTCCTAAAGTACTACTTCATGATGTTCTAGCATCGAGTGATATACGACGAGCCTACCACAGTTTTCTTGTCTAAGGCTTTCGTCCATTGTCTGATGAAATGTGAAAGGATCTTGATGAGGCGGACAAAACTAAGAAGGGAGGAAAGAGGAAGGGTACGAAGGTTGGTCCGTCTAAACCAGCCCTATCTCCAAAGAAGGGTGGGAAATGAAAACCTGATGCAGAACCATCCGAACCTCCACAAGCACCTAATAGAAAAAGGGTCAAGAAAATGGTTCTTCAACCACAAAATCTAGCACTAAGCGATCATGAGGACTTGTAATCATAATTTTTTTGGAGGTTCCAATTCAGAAGGATGTTCACAACGAAGAGGATGTTACTTCTCAACCAAAGGTTTCAAAGCCGACAACTACGAATCCTGAGGTAACATATGAAATCATAACTTTTGTTGCAATCACTAAAGGATTATTCCAAGACTTTTCTATTCCTTCTCCCACTGCCACTATCTCCACTCCTATTATAATTGTCCATGCCCACCGGTGTCATTGGGCGTTTCGCAAGTCCAAACCCTACTTTTTACAGATTCAATAGCTACCACCACTTCAAAAACTGTTGAAACTCCAGTAACTGTGAACGCATCAGATGCAGGGGCAGGAGCTTCGGGTTTCTTAGTTGGTCATTCCACTCCACCCATCTCTCCGTTCTGCCAAGATGGTTTGGACATGAACTATGGTGGTGATGACGACAACTTCGCAGGATTCACCTATAGTCCACTCAACATTTGGAATGAAAGTGATGACGAAGCTCCAGTCACAAGAAGGTAGCTCAAGGCAATCAACAAGAAACTGGATTCGTTTCTCCAATCCTTTAAAGCATCATCTATTAAAGACTATTCACAAGCAACGATCAAGTCTCTCCTCGAGACCCTTACAAAAGAACACTTCGCTAATTGGAAGAAAACGAACAAAGTGGTGTATGCTTATGCTTATGCTTTAGTGTGCAATGAAACCACCGAAAAAGTCAATAAACTAATTACAAATGCTCGTTCATTGATGGAAAATTTTCAGAGCTTATTCGAGTCGAACATAGCGAAGGCTAATGAAGTTATTTCTAGCCTTGGCTCGACTCTTAAAATGGAGAAGGCAAAACTCAAACAGGCTCACTCTGGCCTCGAAAAAGACAATGTCGAGCTTAACTCCTCTATTTCATCGAAGATCATGAAACTTCAAGATGACTTGGCAACCATGAGTAACATATAGCGAGAGAAGGTGAAAGTCTTAACAGTCAAGCTAGAGAATGCTGAGAAACGAATCAATGATCTGCTATCTGAAAAAGCCGTCATGAAAAGTTGTATCTCGGACGTGAATGCATTGCTTTTGGACATCATTGAGACTTGTGACTCGATGATCCCGATAACACTCAAGAAGCATCTCTCTGAAAAGCTCAGGCCCGTATTCACAATGCTTCATAGACCGAAAGGTGTTCCAGAATCAGGCTCAATTCTGAAACAAAGGGGAAAAGGAGTGAAACAATCCAAAAAGGAAATCCCCAGACCTTCAGTCAAGCCCACTTTCAAGCCTAAAAGCGAGGCAAAGAGAAGTTGATCAATGAAGAACCAGTAATTGATAACAGTGAAGATGAAGAGCCTGAAGAACATGAGCTAAAAAGAATAAAATATCATGAAGCTCAGATGGATGAGCACCAAATAATTGTTCGCGAGGCTGAAGAGAAAGAAAAAGCCAAAAATGAAGCTCAAGTCACGCTGGAAAGCCGAAAGCTTTTGTTTCCAGTATGGACTTTGAATCGAATTCTTATTGAGGCTGTGGATATGTTGAGCCTTTACTGGTTGGAACCAGTTGTGTTATTTGACCTTCAAAATACACAAGATTCATAGTTGGATCTTTCAATCACACCGAAAGCCTTCAAGTTTCGCAATTCTGTGAAAGTTGTGAATGTCCCAGCAATAGACCGTGGTTCAGATCACTTGATTTTCTTATTCTACCTTAAGCATATAAAGTCGCGGTACAAAACATGGAGTGCGAGCAAAATTAAGGCTATGAAGATCACCGGTCCAATTGAAATTGATAGCTTCACAAATGTAAAGGTCTACAAATCCACACTTGCTGATATGCGATGCCTAAACTCGTATGACTGGATCATGTTGTATAACTTCTTGCTAAGGGATGAACAGAAATATGAGCCCATTGTTGCTCACCTCAAGCAAATGTTAATCTCATATATTGAAGAGTTTGGCAAGATGGAAATTTAGAATGCCTTTATGCTGCGAAGGAAGCCAAATGTACTCCCCAACGAAGCCCCAAAAGGTTTGATAAAATGAAACCTGGGAAGATACAAAAGGAAGGTTGGTGTGTGGCCTTTCAGATGAAAGAACAAACTGATGAAGAATTTCACAAGGCTTACTTATTTCTTACTAATAAGCACTTGTTCTCCACTTCGTGCCTGGAATATATCTTGGACTTCGTCAGCAAGTACAGAGGGACCAACAAAATCAACAAGAAGTGCTTTTCGGATATGATTCAATGGTGTATCCAAGTTTGCAAAGTTCTGATAAGCGTGATTCCAAAATTATTAGAAGTGCACAAGCGAACTCAATTATGACAGACTCCCGCCTCAATTGATGCAAATGGGGAGATTGTTAGAGATTATGGTGTTGCGTCTTTTGGGCTTTTTACATAGTATTTTGTATAACTAGGTTGGGCTTGTCCACCTGTGATTAATGATTAGGGTTTTACTATTTAAGGTGCATGCATGCATCGTGTATTATATAATCGTGTCATTATAAACTCTTCATAGCCTCTATAGTAGCAGTTCCTTATTGAACTCTTCTGAGGCTATGACTTTTAAATCATTCGACACACTCTTGATTCATATTTTGTGTTTGATTGCTTTTTCTTGTTTGAATCTATTTGATCTTTAGAGTTTTAATGTCAACAAAGCTTTAATGGTGGCACAAGAATGAGGAATAAGAAGGTAATAAGATGCGACTATGGTGATGTTTGTGGTGTATCATTCTCACGAACACATGATAACCCAGGACGAAAATTTTGGGTTTCCCTAATTATCATGTAACACCCTGAATCTCAGGTATAAACCTTACAACCTTATATTCATTTTCAAAGGTCTACTCGACAAGTTTGATGCCCTGACTCATTGAGTAGGAACGAACTTACCGTGTGTCTTAAGTGACCAACTCGACGAGTTGAAGGACACAACTTGACGAGTTAGAGATGGAGGATGAAACACTAATTTACAGGGTTGTGCACCCTATTTAAAGGGTCATTAGCCTCCCTAACAGCCCCCTTGAGCTCAGAAACCCTAAATCATATTTAGTCTCCATATTTGTGTGGTATGAAGCTTGGAAGGTGGACTTTGGTGAGAAGAGCTTGAACCCAAGAAGCTTGGAGAAAGGAGAAATTATGGATCCGAATTCTACTCGATCTTAGCATCAATTCGAAGGTAACAAGTCGTTACCTTGGCTCTCCCTTAGCTAGATCTGTTCATGCATGGTTTAGAACCCTTTCTAGTGTATTGTGGTAGTGTTTCCAGATTTGGGTCAAGATCTGAGGTTGCAACTTCAGATCTGGACTCCATTAGCCCCTTATTTTCACAAAGTTCTAGTCTTGGTTAGGCTATGGATTTCCCCTTGCCTTCAACTTCTTCTTTAGCCTAGTTTTGACTCTTAAGGCCTAGCATGCAGGTAAAGTTTGCAACTTTACATGGTAACTAGGCCCTAGGAGGCTAGATCTAGCAATTAGAGCTTTAGAGTAGCCTAAAATCATCTAGATAAGAAATGAATTGCATGAACTCGACGATTCAGATAAGCCAACTTGACGAGTTGGGAAGGGTTTTCACGTTGTTTAGTTTCTACATGGACTCAACAAGTCAGTAAGAGGGCTCGATGAGTCAGTTAGGGTTTTCACGACTTCTTGAGTTCTATAAGGACTCGACAAGTCAGTGAGTTTCACTCGACGAGTTGGGTCAATATGGACTGTTGAATTTGACTTTGACCAAGGGTTGACTAGTTGACTTCTGGAGGTATTTTGGTAATTTGGGAACTTATGGAATTGGATCATTGTTGTATATAGGCGTTGGTGTTGGAGCTGTATTTGGTAGAGATTGATACTATCATTCCGAGCTACTTGAGAGGTGATTTGTCCTCACTATACTAACATGGTCGAAGGCACCATTGTCAGTCCTTTACGGATTTGTATCCGGGTTATTGCATGATATGCTTATTGATTTACATCATGGTAATTAGGATGGTGATATGCTTAGTGACCCGGTTAGGTCGGTATTTTGGTATATATGATGATACTATGTTAGTGATCGGTTAGGTCTGTATCCTGGTTATTGGATGTTGCTATGATTAATTATATGTTAGATCAGTTTGACTGTTATATATGCTAGCGTACGATATTTATATGCACATGATTGTCAGATTGGTGGTTGGGTTGAGGCGGTCCTGCTTTATGATGAAGGTCAACATACCTAGGGTGGTCCGGATAGACTGAAAGCTTGTGAGGTGATCCAGTTGGGCCGAAGGCCCGGCAAGCGGTCTGGATAGGTTGTAGGCCCTGCGAAGCGGTCCAGACATGTCGAAGGCTTGGAGAGCGGTCTAGATAGGCTGAAGGCCAACGAGGTGGTCCAGTCAGGCTGACGGCTCATTATGCATGCTATTTGCTTATATGTTATTGATATATTTTATGACGTTGGTATTTATGGGGTAACTCACCAAGCCTTCGAGCTTACATTTATCTATTATTGTTTCAGGTACTTCTGATTATCGCGGGAAGGCGAAGGCGTGATCCTATAGCTCCTCATATTTCGAAGTTTTTAATTAAAATATAAGTTTTAAACTCCTATACTTAAATGCTTTTTAAGGGAAAATGCCATATTAGTCGATCGAAGTTGTAGTGTTTGTTTTAAAAGGCCATCAATTTTTTTTTGTACATTAAGGGAATGAACTCTTATTTTTCTATTTTAAAATATCAGTATGTGACGACCAAGTAAACTTGTAAAATGTGTGATTACTATAGGTTTTCGAGCCTTCTTCATTCCTTACTTCTTTTGTTCCATCCTGTTCTTCCCCAAGTTCTCCATCCAGATTGTAGATTGTCGAATGGTGATTTGAAATAAATAGTTTCAACTCTGCTTTATTCATTCATCCATCGAGAATATATATCACATATTGTTCTTATCACAGAGAATTCAAATTGATCTAGATATAAAGATAATCATAGAAACTATAAACTAAGATAAGATAAGGTCTAACATCCCCCCTAAAGTTGGAGCATGGGGATCAAGAATGCCCAACTTTTCAGTCAGACGATAAAATTGAGTTTTGCCAAGCGCCTTAGTAAGAATATCAGCCAGTTGCTCGGAGGTATGAACATAGGATGGAGCGATCAGACCGTCAACAATAGCATCTTGGACAAAGTAACAGTCCACCTCGATGTGCTTTGTACGTTCGTGAAAAACAGGATTCTCAGCCAGGTAAAGAGCAGCCTGATTGTCACAGAATAAGCGAATTGAGTGAGGATGAAGAATACCGAGACTCAAAAGTAAGCCCTTCAGCCATTTAAACTCACAAGTAATAGCAGCCATAGACTGGTACTCTGCTTCAGCAATAACCATGAAACAGTGTGTTCTTTCTTTGTTTTCCATGCAATTGGAGAATCCCCAAGATAAACAATCCAACCAGAAAGTGATCTTCTAGTGATTGGACAAGCTGCCCAGTCTGAATCACACCAACAAGTCAAAGATAGCTTACTATCAACTTGTAACAGGATACCACGACCTGGAGTGCCTTTTAGATACTTAACAACATGCAAGGCAGCCTCCCAGTGTTCAATTCTAGGAACTAGCATGAATTAGGATAAGATATGAACCGAATAACTAAGATCAGGACGTGTAACAGACAAGTAAATTAGACTCCTGACAAGTCGTCGATAGGCCTCTGGATCGTCTAAGACAGTGCCCTTCGCAAGACCAAGTTTGTGGTTCTGTTCAAGAGGAAACCCACTTGGTTTAGCACCAAGAAGACGTGTTTCAGTAATAATATCGAACGTATACTTGCGTTGACATAGGAAAATACCCGCACGACTCCGAGCAACTTCTATACCCAGAAAGTATTTCAAGGTGCCAAGGTCCTTCATTATGAAACACGTGTTGAGATACCTCTTGAAGGCGCAAATAGCATTGGAATAATTGCCCGATATGATCAGATCATCAACATATACTAGAACATGCACCGGTACCTATCCCCGAGTGTAAGTGAACAAAGAATAATCAGAAAAAGATTGTTTAAAACCGTATCTCTTGAGGGTTGTGACAAGCTTCGCAAACCAACACCGTGGAGCTTGTTTTAAGCAATAAAGAGACTTACGGAGACGACACACCAAGTTTGGATTGGAGCTTTTGAAGCTGGGAGGAAGATGCATGTATACTTATTCTGTTCAATCTCCATGCAGAAAAGCATTGTGGACATCCATCTTATGAAGTTCCCAATTTTTAGAAGCTGCAACAGGCAAGAAAACATGAACAATTGTCATCTTGGCTACTGGGGCAAAAGTTTAATTGTAATCGACCCCGACTTTTTGTTGATTTCCAAAGACAACTAATCGTGATTTGAAATGTTCAACATCTCCATTCGATTTATATTTAATCTTGTACACCCATTGACTTCCAAGAGCGCGTTTACTAGACGGAAGAGAAGTCAAAGTCCATGTGTCATTGTCTTCAAGGGCATGTATTTCTTCTTGCATAGAAGCCTTCCAATGTTAATCTGTCATGGATTCTTCAAAGGATTTGGGTTCTTGACCCAAGACTACAGCTGCTATAAAGTGTTGATGACTAGAAGAAAAACGATCACAATTAATATAATGTGCTAAGGGGTAAGGAGTACCTGAGGAAGCCGATGGAGATGGGTTGACGGGAGACGGATTGTGAGTAGTAGACGGATTGAGAATAAAGTCTTTAAGCAGAACTGAAGGTAACTTGAGATGTTGACCTCGACCCATCTCAAGTGTAATGTTGTCCAAATCGAAATCAGGGGTTGAACCCCGTAGGTGAGCCGTGAGATGACCCGGGGGAGATTGGATCAGGTTGAGGAGTTGCTATCTGTGTGGAATTCAGGTTCTCAACCTCTTCATCAAAATAAGATGGAATTTCTCGGATAGTAGGAGTGTCAGTCTTATGGTTGGGATCATGTAAGGGAAAATATCTTCAAAAAATTTAACATCACGAGAA